GAAATAAAATAAAATGTCAACCAGGAAAACAACGGAAAAAAAAAAAGAAATTAAGTCAGTTCAACAAACAGAAAAGAGGTTGTCAGGTTTTTTTGCAACTCCTATTAAAGATCCTATTAAAGATCCGCAGGAACAGATAATTGATAGTAAGACACACCCAAGTAATACTTCCAATATTATCCAAGAAGTTGCACTTAATCAATTTCCATTAGAAGCTCAAGCAATTGCTTCAATTAGTATCCAAGATCAATTTAAGCAAACGCTGGAACTACAATTAAATTTATTGAAACAAGAAATGCTTGTAAGTTTCAATGAGATAAAACAAGAAATTAAAAATGTTGCAGTATCAGTGGTGGAAGTTGAAAAAAAATGTGAAGTGTTTGGAACGCAAATTAAAGCAATTAATACGGAGGTGCAGTTTCTAATAAATAAAGTTGATAATCTTGAAAATAAAATAGCAGCTTTGGAAGATAGGTCAAGAAAAAGAAACATCAGAGTAAGAGGTGTTACTGAAGAAATCTCCAATGAAAAATTGAGAGAATATTTAAACAATTTATTTGAAGAAGTTTTACCAGAAATACCTACAGATGAATATAAAATAGAAAATTTTCACCGGATACATAAACCAGATACAACGGCTTCACATCTCCCAAGAGATGTAATAGTGAGTTTTTCCTCATTATCATTGAGAAATAATTTAATGAAAGCCTGCCGTACCAAACCCCGAACAAATTCTATTTACAAAGACATAATTTTTTTGCAAGACTTATCTTATCATACCAGGACTTGGAGGAAATCTTTCTCTATCGTGACGGATTTTTTAAGAAAAGCAGAGATCAGGTTTCAATGGGCCTATCCAACATCTTTAAGATTTACTTGGAAACAAGAAAGAAAAATTTTTTGGGATGCAAATGAAGCAAATAGTTGGTTATCAGGTATCAATAAAAAAGCTTGAAGGGTCTGTTGCGGCGGAGAGGAAGATGGAAGGAAGAGAGAAGAGAGGAGAAGAGAGAGGAGGGAGAGAGGAAGGAATGAAAGAGGAAGAAAATTAACTTTTTTTTTTTTTTCACTTATATAGAATCACTTAATTGTGCTTTGCACAATTTGCTAATTTGTTGATGTTATTGGGGCTTGTTTTCACTTTAAAGCTACTAGTCAATTGAGAATTAAGTATATGCACACAAGCATTTGGAACATAAGGATTTAAAAGCAAATATGTCTAAGTATTGATATCAATTAGATTTGAACTCAACGAGGTGGTTAAAAGAAAGTTATTCACATGTATTAGTAAGTTAAGTAGAAACAGATTTATTTAAAGTAAAGAATCACAGAGTAACTGATCTAAGTATAAAATAATGGAAGAATTTTTTTTTATTTTTTTTTTTTTTATTTTTTTTTTCTCCACTCATATAGAATTACTTAGTTGTGCTTTGCACAATTTGCTAATTTGTTGATGTTAATGGGGCTTGTTTTCATTTTAAAGCTACTAGTCAATTGAGAATTAAGTATATGCACACAAGCACTTGGAACATAAGGATTTAAAAGCAAATATGTCTAAGTATTGATATTAATTAGATTTGAACTTAACGAGGTGGTTAAAAGAAAATTATTCACATGTATTAGTAAGTTAAGTGGAAATAGATTTATTTAAAGTAAAGAATCACAGAGTAACTGATTTAAGTATAAAATAATGGAAGAAAATTTTTTTTTTTTTTCTTCTCTCTCTCTCCCTCTTGGAGAGAGATTGCAAACTTGTAAATATTACTACCTCTTTCTGGATACGCCCACTTAGTGTCTAATTTAAAGACACAGTAAAGACTGAATTTCTATATGAAAATTTACAGTCTTTGTGATAAAAAAGGAGGATTTCCTCCTATGATTTTAATATTTTGTTTTATGTGTTTGTGTGGATATGTTTATGCAGCAATAGGGAAGGGCAATGGTTATCGAGTGGAAAGGGATGCAGGGAGGTTTTTGAAAATAATATGATAAAAATGCTTACACTTAATGTTCAGGGATTGAATACTATAGCGAAAAGAAATCTATTGTACAAATACCTCAGTGAAAAACAATTGAATTTAATATTCTACAAGAAACTCACTGGAGACAAGTGGATAAACAAAATTGGGGGGGTAAAAGATTTCCACTTATAATTCAAGCTTCCAATAAGGAAAAAAAAAAATGTGGAGTAGCTGTGGTATTTGGAGAAAAGATTAAAGTTGAAGTAATTCATCAAATACAAGACACTAAAGGCAGGTATTTAATAATAATATGCAAAATTGACTCTGTACTTTTTACATTATGCAATATATATCTTCCTAATCATTTACCAGTTGCTTATTTAAAAACAATTCTGGAAAAAGTAGATGAAGTTAAAGTGGGAAAGTTAATAGTGGCGGGGGATTTCAATGCTGTACTAGACCCTCAGATAGATAAAAAATTAATGAAAGGAAATACTTTAAATCAGATGGTTATAAAACAAGCAAAAGCCTTAAAAAAAATTAAAGATGAATATAATCTATTCGATATTTGGAGAATTTTTAATCCCAATGAGAGAGACTATACGCATTTTTCTAAAGTGCATTTTTCCTATTCAAGATTAGACATGATTTGGGTCGACCCAAGTATTATTGATATGACCAAAAAAACAAAGATTGACGAGATAGTATGGACAGATCACGATGGAGTTTTTTGTGAAATGATTTTTAGTACATTTAAAAGAGAAGCTTATACTTGGCGGTTAAGAGATAATTTGCTTTGTTGTGAATTAAAAAAAACTCATATAAGAGATAATATAAAAAATTATTTTAAAGAAAATATCTCAGAAAATATTGATTCATCTATTTTGTGGTGTGCCTTTAAGGCCGTTATAAGAGGTCATATTATCAAGTTACAAAGCCAACTTGATAAAAATAATACTTTGGCATTTTTACATACAAAATTAAGAGATTTGACTAATATCAATAAACAATCTCCATCTTCTGAAATTTATGAAAAAATATTAGAACTTAAAGAAAAAATAAAGCAAAAATTAATGGACACGATAGCTAAAAATATGGTTAGACTAAAATTTAAATATTATTCCAAAGGTAATCGAGCTGAAAAGATGCTATCCCAAAAACTTAGAAAACAAAAAGTACAAAATAAGGTAGACAAAATAATACAGAATGGAAAAATAGCACTAACCCCCAGAGAGATTGGAAAGTGTTTTAATGAATATTATTCCAATCTATACAATATTCCTCAGATTAATACAGATGAGGATATTAAAAACTATTTAAATAATATAAAGAAGCCTCAATTAACTTCTATTGAAAATGATTTCTTAAATAAACCTATAACTATGGAGGAGACTATGAAAGCAATAAATGATTTAGAAAGATCTAAAACACCAGGCCCGGATGGGTTTAGCAACCTATTTTATAAAACATTTAAAGATTTAATATGTCCACATTTGACCTCTGCTTTTAACATAGCGGCAAACAGAGGATTTTTACCAGCAGAGATGCTAAAAGCTAATATCTTGCCTATTTTAAAAAATGATAAAAACCCCACTGATATCAAAAACTACCGTCCGATATCTTTAATAGATGTTGACACTAAGTTATACGCTTCGGTTTTGGCTGCTAGAATAAAAAAACTTCTTCCACTAATCATCCATAAAGATCAAATAGGATATGTTCCAGGTAGAAATTCCTATACAAGTATAAGGAAAATTATTAATATCTTGGATGATGCAAATAGATATGATGTTCCAGTTCTGACTCTGTCGATTGATGCTGAAAAAGCATTCGACAGAGTCAGCTGGAAATATTTAGAAGCCGTTTTACAACATTATGGATTGGAAGGTTGGATTAAGAAAGCTATAATGGCACTATATGTAAATCCTGTTGCACGAACTATTGGACCTAATATAGTCGCCCCATGGTTCCAACTTAGAAATGGTACCCGACAGGGTTGTCCCCTCTCACCATTGCTCTACTTGCTGACTATTGAGCCATTGGCTGAGAATATTAGGAATAATAAAGAGATCCATGGTTATAAAATAATGGATGAGGATCAAAAAATTAGCTTATATGCTGATGACATTTTAATTACTCTTACAAACCCTAAAAATTCTTTGGAACGCATAATGCAAGAAATAGAGCGATATAGCTTCATATCAAACTATAAGTTAAATATAAATAAATCCTTGATATTAGATGTTAACCTAAATAAAAGGATACAACGAGAGATTAAAAACAAATATGATTTTATTTGGGTTAAAGAAAGTATGGATTACTTAGGAATTAAAATAACCAGAGAGACAAATAAGATTATGGAAGTAAATTTCCTAACATTATTATTAGATCTCAATAAATGGTTAAAAGATCGCAGAAACCTAGAGATTACTTTTTTGGGGCGAATAAACGTTATCAATTCATATGTTATACCAAAGTGGAATTATATGTTTCAAATGTTACCTCTCCATATCCCAATCCATTGGCTTCAATTAATACAAAGAAGTTTTACTCAATACATCTGGAAAGGCAAGAAGCCGAGATTGAAACAGTCAATATTAGCGCAGAAAATATATAAAGGTGGACTTGATTATCCACTCATAATGAATAACTTTAAAGCAGCTATTACCCTACATGTCTATAGAATGCAAATGAAAGAAAATAAAGATGAGGGATGGTATAAAATGGAATTGAAGGCAGGAGAAGTTTCTAGCTTAGATTGTTTAATCTGGAATATAAATAAAATGCCAAAGAAAAAAGAATATGCCAGTATTATTCTAACTCAATTACTGGAAAATTGGTTAAAAATTAAAAAAGCAATGAATATAGAAAAAAAAGTTCCAAGTTATTTAGAGTTAGATATTGTAGAAAAACAAGTGGAAGACTTAAACTTAAATAATTGGAAAAAAGTAGGGATAACGACTCTGGACCAATTATTGACAGAAGGATTAATTAAAACCTTTGCTCAAATAACAGAGATACACAATCTCCCTCCTAGAGAGGTGTTTAATTTTTTAAGACTTAAAAGCTATATTAATACACATCTAATAATACCAAAATCTAATTTAAGCAATTCGATAGATTTATTATTTACATCAAAAAAAAGTTAATAAACCACTTTCTAAAGCTCTAATACTAATTAAATCAATAGCTGAAGACACAAATCCTACTGCCATACAGGCTTGGAAACAAGACTTGAATATCGATATAAATCTGAATCAATGGGGTTCTTCAATGATGGATGTTAAGAAGAATATACATTCATTAAATTTATTAGAAACGCACTTTAAAGTTTTAAATAGGTGGTACTTAGTACCAGCTAAATTGAATAAAATTTACCCTCTAGTAAATCCTATCTGTTGGAGATGCAATAGTATTAGAGGCAATTTTAGACATATTTGGTGGGATTGCTATAAATTAAAAAATCTCTGGTTGAAAATGCAGCATTTTATATCTAACAATTTAAAACTCGAGTTGATTATCTCTCCAGAGGTAGTTCTACTTCATCTAAATTGGCCTCATATGACATATGAATTAAAAGCAATCCTTATACATCTGTTTTTAGCGGCTAAAATAGTAATTGCGAGATGGTGGAAAAGGGATTTAGAAGTCCCCTGGAAGAAAGTTAAAACTCAACTCGAGTTTCAGATTAGAATGGAGCTGATGCTAAGTAAACAAAGACTAAGCAATAAGATTTCTGTTTGGTTAAAGTGTATTGAGATGATTGATGTATAAAATAGTGTCGTTCAATTAACAGTAGAACAATTCCATGAACACTGTAAATAATTATGAGATTTATCTAAATGATATTACCACTCTATTATGGAAGTCTTTCTGATGTATTTTTCTTCTCCCTCCCCTATTTTGCTGCTGTGTTGTTTGTTTGTATTACAAATGTATATTTGTATGATATTTGTATTTGTATGATATATGTATTTAATGAGATTTAAAAGAAAAAAATTTAAAATAAAGATTAAATATTCAAAAAAAAAAAAAAAATGTAAATCTCTTTAGTTTGTTTAAACGGCGCCTCAGAGGGGATATGATAACATTATATAAATATATTCGGGGCCAGTGCAAACCATTATCTGGAAATCTATTAATAAACAGGGCTATACATAGGACACAAGGTCACACATTTAGGCTGGAAGAAAGGAGATTTCATCTAAGGCAAAGAAAGGTTTTTTTTACAATAAGGATATGGAATTCTCTGCCCGAAGAGGTGGTGAGAGTCCATACAGATTGTAATTGGATAAATACTTGCAAAAACATAACATTTCTAATTAGTGGGGTAATAGCTGATCCAATGAGACATCTGACTGCTATTTTGGGGTCAAGAAGGAATTTGTTCCTAGTTTGCTGCAAAATTGAAAGCGCTTCAGACTACGTTTTTTTGCCTTCTTTTGGATCAACCGAAAAAACACATGTGAGGAAGGCTGAACTTGATGGACGCAGGTCTCTTTTCAGATATGTAACTATATATATATATATATATATATATATATATATATATATATATATATATATATAACAATCATCTGGAGTGGCAACACATAGCCTTACATATTATTGGTATATTTATTTTTCTAATTCAAAATATTGGTCCTTTTCAGATTGTGTGTAAGTAATATATATATATATATATATATATACATACATACATACATACATACATAATTACACACAATACATGGCACAATCACTTATGGGGCTGGCTTAGATTTTTTTTTTCCAGGGCTGCTTCATATTCCCAGTCCAGCCCTGTTGCCAGGCCATAAGGACTGGTTTGGGAACCACTGGCTTAGCATGCAATTCTAGCACTGAAAAGGATGTTAACCATCAAATTGTGGTCTCCCATGATCGATGACATATAAAGTGGAATTATTTGGTGCACGAGCATTATCATGACACTGTGTTATTTTGTGAGATATCATGCAACAGACCCTGGTGCTATCTTGAGTTAACATAGATATGCCTATTGATACAGGAAGAGACAGAAATACATGTCATCTAAACCAGGCTGCTAACATGGGAGTAAATAGATTCATTAAGAAAACACATCGTAAGACATAGTACAATTTGTTTGCAAACATGCTGTCACAAACAGCTCCAGTTTCCATTTTATTATGGAGTTTAGATACTGAACCAAATTTTATACTAAAGAAAACTCTAAAATGTAGGCCAATATAGCCAAGTTGTTAATATAGCAAATTTGGAGAAATCTTTCAAATCAGCACTTTCTCCTTAGATTTTGCAATTCAGTTTTCAATTCACTACAGTTTGTGATTAGTGTATACATATAATATACTACGTGCCTTAAGAGCAAACAGAGGAGTTCAAAGAATTTAACGTCTCTCAGTATAAAGATTACTACACTCTGTAAACACAATTTGTGATTTAAACAGCACTATAATAACTAATCCTGATAGTGAACCTCTTCCATAAAAGCATCAATTGCTGGGAATTAAAAACAATATACACAACCTGTATCCAAAACCCCGAATTGACAAAAATAGCTGATTTGAAGAATCTTTCCAATCAGCTTAATTTTGCTTTAATGAACAACCTGTTCTGGAAAAGCTTCTATTTAGAAATAGCTGGAAGACATCTTTGATCGGAAAATGTGCAAATGAATGATTGACAGTCTAATTTGAGCGATTACACGGGAACTGACATTTCTTAGTCTTTTCAATAATAAGTTTACTTATGTCCTTTATCAAATAGATGTTTAACCCGTTAAGGACCAAACTTGTCATGTGTCCTTAAGGGGTTAAAGTGTCGGTAAAATAAATGTAGAAATCCACATGGCTGTATTAATCTTTATCATGAAACATCTTGGTCAATGTCAATCATTGCTATAAGCTTTGCCCCTTGCATTTGGCACTCAGCATAGAGAAAGAAGAAAAAAAAAAAGAACCAACGAGAGATTTATTAGTGTTATGTTCCCAAAAGTGTTGCAAATATGTAAAAGGGAGAAGTCACAAAAGGAATGTGCCTGATTGCCCCGGTTTAAGACACCTATTATTTTTCAGAACACAACATAAATCCTTCCTCAGTGTATCTGCTTCTCTTTCCATGTATTGCGTGCCCTGGTTGTACTAGGACTGAACTGGATTATGTCAGTTCTTTTATCTTCCATGTACATTTAACAGATAATGGGGCATTCCATGAAAATGGTTAACACATTATAGATGATGTTTTATTCTATATAATTTACAGAAAAGTAACAGTTGCCTTTAAGTGCCATGTTTAGTAAATTTTACATGTTGGATGTTTGTCATAATTCTGCTAATTTGCATGTTCACACAGGGAACCAATATCGGAACATTAAGCTTTGGTATCAATTGAACGAAACTTTGCATTTTTTTTTTAAGTAAGCTAGACGAGTATCTAGAGCAGTGGTTCCCAACCCAGTCCCTCAAGTACCCCCTAACAGTCCAGCATTTAGGGACTACCCTGTTGTGTCTAAAGTGTTTTTGTTTTTCTTTCTTTCTAAAAACATCTCAGACACAACTGGGTAATTCCTAAATCCTGGACTGACAGGGGGTACTTGAGGACTGCGTTGTGAACCACTGATCTAGAGGATTGTAAAGTCTTCG